CGGTGGTGGTCCCACCCACTCTGGGGTCTGCACGTGGGCTCCCTCTTCTGGGCAGGAGGGGAGCCACACCGACTCACTACACAGTTCATCAACTTATGTAATATTTTTTACTTATTTTGATAGAAGAGAGTAGTGCAATCATGTGAAGCAACAGTATATAACATTTATTAATTCTTGATACCAATACCTACTATGTCTATAATATTATTTTGCATTTGCAAATGCTCTATAAAAAGAGGGTACACGTAGATCAGATATAAGGCTAAGATTTAATGGGTATTTTTAGTAAAGTCATGGACAGGTCATGGGCAATAAACAAAAATTCACTGCCCCATGACCTGTCCATGGATTGCATTGTATACCCATGACTAAGTCTTGGGCGTTCTGGGGGGCTCCGGGGCACCCATTGGTGCTGGGTTGAGTGCTCCAGGGCGCCCGCTGTTGTTTGTGGGTGGTGGCTCTGGGACGGGGGCAGTACAGCTAGCTCTGGGGGGCAGTACAGCTGGACCTAGAGTCAGGCGCACCAGCAAGCTGCAGAAGTTACGGAGGTCCCAGAAAGTCATGAAATCTGTGGCCTCCGTGACAGACTCGGAGCCTTATCAGATCAAAACCTAAATCTGTGTTGTTGTTGTTTTTGGCCAGGAATAAGGCTAGTAGATGAAGGTGTGACAAATGTGGTGGTGGTAGTCATCAAATTGTGAGGGTTTTTTTGTTTGTTTGTTTGTTTTGTGGTCTTTTTTTAAAGATAGCGAAGATCTAATAGAAATTAGTAGAAGTGAAACTTCTTAAATAGGGGCTCAACATAAAAACAGAAATTGTAGTTGTCAGATATTGGAAATATTTATAATTTTAATACTATTTATGTTTATAAAACTGTTCCATTCAAAACTGTGAATTAAGTGCTTTAAAATTAAATAAGTAGGTGAATAAGCAAAATCTCTTTCCAAATAGAGGGATATACCTATGATCTTTTTATTTCCTCCAGTCCTTAGATGACCTTTCAAATGTCTCTTCTGACGAGTCAGCACAACTACATGCATACATTTCAGATACTGGTAAGTGACTTTATTGTAGTGATGCTTACTTCTCTTTTTCCTCTGTTGTTTTTGAGCTTCTGTCATTTAATATACATTTATTTTAATTCTAGCGTTCTAATGTTAGTGAACTAATTATAGGCCCCCTTAAATCCTAATCCTTTCTCTTTCCTTTCTGTGTCTTAAACGTTTGTTTTCATGTTTGTTGCTGATGAAATCATTGTAATCCAGAGCCTCATCAAATTCATATTGTAATTGTAGACAGTACACCTAATGTACTAAAATGGGAGACTTAGTTATGCAGCATATCATACATTTCAAAGTCTCTCTACCACTAATAATTAGAAGATCATCCATTAATTTTAATTCACTTGACTAATGTACCTTACTACTCTCGATTTGATTTGATTTTAAAATTTAATTTATCTACTTCTAGCAGTTCTCTTTTTCAGTCAAGCAAATACTGTTCTTAAGTATTCTCTTCTGTACTATAATATCTTCAGCAATCTTGCTGTAAAGATTAAGTGAGACAGACTTTCACAGCTAGAGAATGAGCTAAATCTTATGCTGCAGTAAGCGTTAAGAATGGTTCTCATATCAGCTCTTCAAAAATTAAAGAAAGTTTAATTGCTGTTACAATTAAAATGTAGGTGTTCAATAGGATTGCTCTTTAATGGTGTCAAATACATCATATCTTCTGTTCAAGTTATGCTACAGCGATAAGATTGTCATTGTTTCTTCATTTGATCTTATTACAATACTAATATTTGATTTTTGGCCTGGTATCAGGGTGCTATTAGGAAAACTGTTAGTATTTTATTCTTTCTTGGCCATTATTGCAGACAACAGTTCCCTCAGTGCATTTGACGGTTTCACTATATGGATACTAAAACTTTTGCAGTGAGATATCTTTAAAACCAGAGATGACAAGTTTGTATTTTTGTATGCCTTTTAGATTTGGTTATTGGGTTGGGAAGTTTTTCTATGTGCCTATGTAGACTTTAGTGAAACTCCCCTTTTAGTATACCAGAACACCAGCTCTTGACTTCTCTAAGTGCTCTAAAATCCTCACAGTTACTGAGATTGCCTTGAGATTTTGTTTTCCTCATGGGGAGAACAGGGATTGGTCAGTGATCCAGTTTGGAAGCCATTTGAATAGGGAGTTCCTGAGGTACAGCCTCCTGAAAAAAACAATTTTTCTTAAAGTGGTCATGTTTTAGTGATGATTTTTTGTGCACGGATAGAGATAAACTAGGTCTCCAAACACTTGAGTTACTCCGACATAGTGCATGCCACACTTAGCCATTCGGGGAAAATCAAATTACAACATTATTACCCAAAGAGTTTGGTTCTTGAACATGTCAGCTATATAAGTGCTTGGTGGCCCACCACAAAGATTATGCTGTGCATGCAGAGAGAGCAAAGCTAATTAACTTGTTAATGCCTGAGTCACGGGTACTGAATGGCTCAAAGGGGAACGTTCCAACCATCAAACCAGGCACTGAGAGTTCAAATCTAACCATTGGCAGAAATCTTAAATTATTAAAGCAGGCATCTGGTTCGATCAAAGTTTTTGTTTTGAGGAAATGTAGTCAAAGTACAGCAGGATATTCAGAAGATGCTGAAACTGTTTTTGAAACAAAAATAAATTACATATGCAAATATTTGCTGGGAGGGGAAAGTGAAGGGGTGGAAGAGTTTTGGGGAATGGGGGGAAAGTATTTAGAGTGTAGCAAGGAGAGAGGGATTATGGGGGGCATTGGGACACTGGGAAGTGAGAATGTGAGGGTGAGTGGGGTGGCTTGGGGAGAATAGGGATGGGGCAGTTGTCAACCTGACATTCCCCTCCCATGTGTGCCAGGATCTGGGGGTCAGTATCACTTGGGGTGGTCTGAGCCCCTCTGACTGCCGTTGAGTGTGTCACGATCTTGGAGGCCCTAGCCCACACAGAGGGGATCTGACCCCCCCCCCACCCCACTCCCACTTCCCACATGTGAGCCTCAATATGGGGGAACTTAACCTCTTGGGGGTGTCAGCAGTTCTCCTTGCCCCACCTCTGTGAGCTGGGGTCTGGGTAGTCAGTGGGAGTGAGGGGCCTACCTCTGTGTGCAGCTCAGGCCACGTAGCCAAGGTAGCTTGCGGCCCTCCAGTAAACTGCTCTCTCTAATGTGTGTACACAGTAGCATAGGGAAGGGGACAGCAAGGAGGAACTTCTTAAATGGTAATAGCTTCTAGAGCAGGGGTGGGCAAACTTTTTGGCCCGAGGGCCACATCTGGTTGGGGAAATTGCATGCAGAGCCATGAATGTAGGGGCAGGGGGTTGGGGAGTGTGAGGTGTGGGAGGGGGTGCATTGTGCAGGAAGGGGCTCAGGGCAAGGGGTTGGAGCAGAGGAGGGGTGCGGGGTGTATGAGGGGGCTCAGGGCAGAGGGTTGGGGTGTGGGCGGGGTGTGAGGTGCAGCAGGGGGATCAGGGCAGGGAGCTGGAGTGCGGGGTGCAGGAGGGGTTCGGCTCTGTGCCAGTTATCTGGAGTGGCTCTGGGGTGGCAGCGGCGTGCACCGGGGCCAGGGCAGGGCCCTAGCCAATGGGAGCTTCGGGGGAGGTTCCCACAGGCAAGGGCAGTGTGCAGAGCCCTCTGGCCTCCCCTCCCTCAGGGGCCACAGGGACGTGGTGCCAGCCTCTTCTGGGAGCGGTGAGGGGCCTGTGGTGCCACGGGGGTGGCAATCCCGCAGGCCGGATCCAAAGCCCTGAGGGGCCTGATCCAGCCCTTGGGCTGTAGTTTGCCCACCCCTGTTCTAGAGTGCCAACTACTGGCTTAATTAGATGGAAAGGTGAACTGGAATTGAGGATGGGGTGCATGGTGGGGGAGGAGATATAGAAGGAGACACACATCAATCTTCTCTCAGTTGCTTAAAGTTATTGTAACTGCCATGTAATAAAACTGTCAAGGTTTTGGGACATAAACTATGGATGAGATTTCTCTCACCGTTCTTGTTAACGATTACACATTGCAAACATTTCAAAGCATAACCATTATCCCTTTTTCACTCAAACAAAATGTACAGGATGGGGGAGGAGTATTGAGGAATCACATAGCAACAGTGTGAACTGGGACTATTACTAGCTTTGTCACTGACCTGCTGGATGACCTAGGACAAGTCATTTCGCCTCTCTGCCTTTGTTTCCCATCTGTAAAATGGGGATAATGATGTAAAATTCTTTGTGACATACTCATGAAAATCACTATATTAAATTACTCCCAGGGGAATTCTGTCTCACTGCACGTGCGCAGAATTCTTGTGCTCCACAGATTTCTTTGCTTCCCTGCAGAAAAATGATTTTCTGATGGGGAAGCAAAGGAAGCCGCAAAAGCAGTCATGTACCACTTCTCAACAGCGCAGGTGTGTTGTTTCAGGTATCCAGAGCAGCCAGCGGAGAAGTAAATCACTGGGGGGAGGGGAGAGGAGGGGATGGGGCGCCCCAGCCAGTGGCTCCTGCCCTATGCCAGCCTCAGCTGCTAGTCCCAGCTGGGCTGGGGAGGACGGGAGTTCCTCTTCCTCCGCAAGGAGTGACCAGGGCTGAGTCAGACCCACCCCAGAAACCTCTCCAGCTGCAGGAAGCTCCATGCCCCCTGTCCCCATCACTCCTCAGCCATCGGGGGGAGGGGTCACTGTACAGAGCTATTCCCCCATCCACCCAACTCCCATGCATCTGGACCCACCTCATGCCCAGATCACCCTGCCAATCCTCACCCCCTGCACCCAGCCCCCCCACTGAACCCCGCACTCAAACTCCCCTCCTCCCCAACAAGCCCCACACCACCTGGACCACTGTGACTCGCTCCTCCCACCCCACTGAGCCCCAGCAAGCCAGCATCCAGACACGCACCCGGACACCCCTGTCCTCGCTGAGCCCTCCAAACCCAGACTATCCCTGCTGAGCCCCAACCACCTTCACCTGGACCCCCCTGCAGAGTTTCATTGCCTCTGCACTCAGAACCCACACCTCAACGAGCCCCTATTCATTCAGATTCCCTGCACCTTCCATCAAACTGCACCCAGATAGCCCCACACAGAACCCTATCACGCCACACCTGGGTCTCCCCACACTAAGCCCCTCCACACTTGGATCCTGCTGGGCTGAGCCTGCCTGCCTAGTGTGCTTGACATGGAGTTCTGGGCTTCCCACTGCCATGCCAGAGCCTCCACAGTTATTTATTGACAAATAAAATTTCCAGAATTTTGCAGAACTTTAAAATATTGTGTGCAGAATTTTTTATATTTTTGGCACAGAATTCCCTCCGGAGTAATATTAAAGCTAAGAATTTTTTATTATTATCTCGCCACAATAGCATATCTGCTACAAACTAAGTGAGAACTACAGCTGCTTAAATGACCACTGACTCCTACCAACAAACATTTCTCTTTCTGTTTAAAAAGCTAGTAAATTCAATGGCAGAAAACATCGTTAACAGAGAGTTAAGATTGCTGGGTGATAGGTTGTGCTCTTTCAGAACATCAAGTTCAGCAAAACTCAACCTTCTAAAACCTGAGTACTCATAACTGCAGCTGAGGTCAATAGAAGCTCTGTCCTGAACATATGAATTTCTATAAAATGTCAAATAAGGTTTCTCAAGTAGAGCACCCAAAATTAGTTGACACTTCTGACAATATTGGCTTTAATCTCAGTGCCTCAGTTCCCTGTTTATAAAATGGTAATAATACCTCCTTATTTCACAGGGTTGTAGTGAAAATAAATTCACAATTAAGACATTATGATGAAAGAATTTCCCATGAGGAAATTAATATTTCTGTATTCAGAGAAGGGTTTGGATAGCATGCAGTAAATAATGCTACACACTGAATGATGAGGATAAAAGAAAATATTGAAGAGTTTCCCATTCAGTAAGCACATCCTTTTTGCTCATTGAATGAGGCAGCAGTCCTGTGAAATAAATAGCATGTAATCATGTAATTAAAGACTTTATCATAATACATATACATAAGGAGGCAAAATTAAAGTTGCAGGGGTAACCTTAATTCTGATATTTTGTTGCTTTTGAGTGCTTGACTTTTTGCAACCCGAACATTTTTCGTAAATTTTTTTAATCTAATTTTCTAATTTTAAAAATTGTAAAAAGAAACATCATTATGTGGAAACATATTGACCCTCGTATGGGCCTTCAACAATGTTGGAATCTTTAGATCCACCACACTGTTCTTGGGATAATGGGATAACCGGTAGCAGTAGAATGCTGTTGTCTTGTGTGTACCTGTTACTAAAGTGGGTTGGAGATGCACGATTTGCCAGTTTCACAGTTGTTTTCTAGACAGCAAAAAAATGTTGAGACTCGGGAATAGTACGTTCAAGTCCAGGTTCTGCAGGGGAGTGTACTTAGTGGTAATAGACCTTTTGCTCCTGTCTCTCCCCCTCTTCACCCAGCTTCCCCCTCTCTCTCCTTTTGCCCCTGTCCCCAGGACAGTTCCTGCCCTATCCCTGCCCCCTCCCACCCTCTCTCCCTCCCTTCATTGAGGGCACAGGAACTAAGAGAAGGGAGATTGTCTTTCCTGTGCCCAGTGCCACAATGGCTCCTGGCAGCTGGGAGGAGCAATTGCAGGATAAGTCCTGCACAGCCCCTATATTCCCTGGATGGGGCATACTCGCGTATTCTGTGGGAATGATACATGTGCAGTCCACTAGGCCTGTCGGGGCTTTGAGGGGATGGAGCACATGAAATGATACAAGTTAGCTTCCAAGCTCTAACAGTTTTCTATTGATCATGTATGAACTGTGATTTTTTTCTAAAAGCTTATGACACAGCCAAATTTGGGTGAATCTTTGTGAGGATAACAAAAACTGCTTCCCTGACACAAGTGCTACCCCCTGCCAAATTTAAGGTCCCTGTTCCATGGCATGGCAATGCTAAAGCTTCTTGATGAATGGTTTTAAGATATTTTTTTAACATGGTCAAAATATTTTTTCACTACCTGTGTACTCAGACTCAGCTGAGCTGTTTTAGCTGAAACTTAAAACAAAACAAAATTCCAACCCAGATGGTCTAAGTTTGGCAAAGTTATAAGTAACTGAAAACAGGGTCTTATAATGGAAAGTGTCAAGCAACTTTATCTATAGGCATCACTATCTGCATCCCGCCTGTAATTGCGTTTCATCTTGAGCTACTTGACTCCTTAGCTTGAGGTGTGTGTGTGTGTGTGTGTGTGTGTGTGTGTGTGTGTGTGTGTGTATATATATATATATATATATA